AAGAAGGCATTGAGGAGTTCAGCCTTTCTGTCCCCTGTTTGCATTTCACCATCTTCTCCTCTGAGTGACCCCACTGTTTCTTTGTTCTTCCTTTTGCTACGAACATACCCATAAAAGCCTTTTTTGTTGCTTTTAACCTCTCTAGCAAGCCTGAGTTCATTCTGTGCTTTAGCTTTTCTGACTTTGTGTCTACACGTGCTGGCTTTTGTTTGAATTCCTCTTTGGTGGTTTCCCCCCTTTTCCATTTTTTGTACACATCCTTTTTTAATCTTAACTCAGTTAAAAGTTCTTTAGATAGCCACCCTGACTTCTTTAGGCACCTTCCATGTTTCCGTCTCATTGGTTGCCTGAAGTTGTGCTTTTTACTATCTCCCTCTTAACAAACTCCCAGCCATCATGAACTCCCTTTCCTTTTAGTATTACTGTCCATGGGATCTCACCCAGCACTTCCCTAAGTTTTATGAAGTCGGCTTTCTTAAAGTCAAGAAATTGAGTCCTAGTATGCTTGGCTGCTCCTTTCCGCTGTATAGTAAACTTCAGAAGAGCATGATCACTCGCACCTAATGATCCTTCCACTTCTACCCCACTAACCAGGTCATCAACATTGGTTAGGACCAGATCTAAAATGGCTGTTCCTCTTGTTGCTTCTCCCACTTTCTGGACAATGAAGTTGTCTGCAAGGCCAGTGAGGAATCTGTTTGACCTTATGCTCTTGGCTGAGTTTGACATCCAACAAATATCTGGGTAATTGAAGTCCCCCGTTACTACTATCTCCCTTCCTTTTGCATGCTTGGCCATCTGTTCCAGGAAGGCATCATCTATGTCCTCCGTTTGGCTTGGGGATCTATAGTAAACTCCCACAATGAGGTCTCTGTTATTCTTCTCTCCCTTAATTTTGACCCAAATGCTCTCACTTTGGCTTTGAGGTTCTAAATCTTGGATCTCTTCACAGGTATACACATCCCTGACATATAACGCCACTCCTCCTCCTTTCTTGTCTGGTCTGTTTCTCTGAAATAGATTGTATCCCTCCATTTATATTCTCTCAGCATGGCCCTGAAAGATGGGCATCCCAGTTTTCCTCTGCAGCAAGTTGGAGGGTATGAAGACTAGCCCGGGTAGCCAGTTGCTATGTCCAGGACAGAAATATTAGCAGCAATCAAATAACAACAACAACAACAACAACAATAATAATAATTTATTATTTGTACCCCGCCCATCTGGCTGGGTTTCCCCAGCCACTCTGGACGGCTTCCATAGAAACCAAAAAACACTAAAATATCATACATTAAAAACTTCCCTGAACAGGGCTGCCTTAAGATGTCTTCTGAATGTCAGGTAGTTGTTTATCGTTTTGACATCTGATGGGAGGGCGTTCCACAGGGCGGGCGCCACTACCGAGAAGGCCCTCTGCCTGGTTCCCCAGCACTGCAGCCAAATGAAACTGTCCAGAAAAAACAAAAACCCTGCAACATGTTATTTTGCTTTGATTGACTCTTATGGACTCTTAGATCCCCTTTTACCCTGTCAGCTGCATACGAGATGATGGATTAATTTGCCCTCTAACTTGATTGCTCAAAAAGAGTATAACTGCTAACACTTAAGGTGTTTACTAGGCAGTGATGGATGACTACCATCTATGCCTCAGGAGAATAACAGGGTCCCTAAAATATCTAGCCAACAAGCTCCCAACCAGCAAACTCATTCCAAAAAGAGGTTTTTGTTATGTTGACTTATTTTAAAATACTTGCCACCTACCCTTCATTGTTACAGGCAATCTCAGAACAAACTACCAAACTTAAAATGAAACAGGTTCTAATTTCCGCCAAGCTCATTGCAAAACACACAAAAAAGGAAAGTGCTCATTTGTGAGGATTCCTTCCAGAGGCATAAATTTGTGGAACCACAGAAGCAGCTTTGTCCTTAGCCTTTTCCATGGTGTGATGGTGCTGTTAGGAAGAGGTGCTGTCTTGTGGTGTTTGCGCTTGCTGGTGCTGCTGCTTTCTTAGAATCATAGAGTTGGAATAGACCACAAGGGCCATCGAGTCCAACCCCCTGCCAAACAGGCAACATGAATATTCATACTGTATAGTAAGGAAATGCTTACTATAAGGGAAACTCAAATGTTTAACAAAACCTTTGTTTAACAAAACATTTGCTGCTATACTCCATGGAAGGAGTCTTGCTTTTTTAAAAAATCATGTTTTTAAAATTAAAGAATATACACATACCTCCTCCCCCGCCCCTTGCAGTCTGACAAGGGACAGCCCAGAAGTCAGCTATATCTTCCTACATAGCAGTGAGCCCTGGGAGCTGTAGTCCAAACCATCTGAAGGAAGTCAGGTTGACTATATTCCAATACTGAACTGGGCTTTCTGAGTGTCATGGCTTATGTATCAAAAACAGCAGCACCATGCGCAAAAAGGAGGTATCAGCCAGCTTGAGGGGAACCCCAAAGTTTGCAGTACTGCAAAAAGATGTTTAGGTTTCTCACCCTAAGGGGGGAAGGGGTACCAAAAGCATCCACCATGAGGACTGATCATGCTCAGATGCTGACTGACAGTTTATAGGTTGCAGAAAACAAGGGGCAGATGGAATGGACTATCCAGGAAGAAGGTTTGGCTGGCTGAGTGGCTGAAACATAGAAAGAAACACTCCACACTGCAGCATTTTGTTGCAGGTCCCGTGTGAGTGAGTGTGTTACAATTGTAAGTAATTCTTACAATAGCCTTGCAAAGTACAATTATTCCTAATACTGCAGATGGAATGCTTTGGCTGAAAAAATTATTGCCTTTCTGATGAAGTTGCTTTGTGGATGACAGGCATTTTGGGCTGGGAACCATACATTGGAAGCCCATTTCTCCTCTGCTGAAAAAGGAATCCTTGGAACTGTAGTTTACCCCCCACCGAGCTACAGTTCCCAGCACCCTTAAATTACTGTTCTCAGTGTGCTACCAACCCTACCCTGGAATCTGCCCCTGGGAAATATGATGTAGGTACTTCTTATGGTAAGTCAAACACTGAATCCACTTTTTAAATGTCTGCGCAAAAATATTCTTGAGTGCAGGACATAACACGTTTAGAAATGAGCACTAAAATCTATCCAATGTTTTCATTATTCAAGGAAAATATTTGCAAAAGGAAAAAAGGAGCATGGCCAGTGTGCTTTAAGAACTACAAATATGTGCCTCAAAGCCACTATTTAAGTATCAATTCAAGCAGCCGTTTCCCTGCCCTATAATCTGCTCACAGCTGCAAGAGGTCAGGGAGCAAGACAGCTGCGATTCAGCTTGTAACACATTTGTTCCTCAGTTTCCAAGGCTGCCATTGGGAGTTTTGACATGTGTCCTTCCATTAGGAGAGTTAGTGTGCCTGATTCATTTCTAGTACAGAGCCATAGCACCTTATGGTACGATTCCCCCAGGAGAGCTTTAGAGGACAGCAGATGACAAATAATGAGCAGACCTGGATTTATTAATTCTGGATTCATTCTAAATTGGGAAGGCGAACGATGTTCTCTTCTTCCTCTCCACACACCTTGTCTAAATGTTTAGACTGCAAGGAACCTGGCAGGTCTTTTTTGCTGCTGTGCCTACATAAAGTGCCTACATAAAGTACTACATAAATAAGCCTAGACCACAACAGTTCTTTCACTGAGATTCCAAGTGTTTCTCCCTATTTCTCCGAACCCTTGGTTTCCCTGATTTAGGGGGAGAGGGGAGTATATTGAAATCAGATGGCATAAACATTCCCACAACTGGTATCTGTTCCAAAAACATGCTGATGAAAATATACGTCAGATGCCTGCAAGCCTCAAGGTTGCAGCATGCGGTAGCAGCCACAATAAGGGGGAGATGATAAAAGGGAAGACGGACCCTTTGCCATTCCCTGTGGCCCTATTTGCACAACACATGTTAAAGCAGAATTAGTCCCCATTTTCTTTTCTCATCATTGTTGTTTTGTTTTTTTACAGCGTGTTTTTACTGTTTAAAAGGAAGGCTTGACAATGAGGGCAATGTATATTGAAATCTCACAAACCAGAGAAGTGGCTACATACACTTTCTTGCTGCTGAGCATGGTTCTACATAACTCCTTGCCCCTTACAGCCATGACAAGCAAAAACAGAAACTTCATAAATTGTGTTTTTATTTTGTATTTTTATCTTGTGAACCACCCTGAGATTTACAGATGAAGGGCACTATACAAAGTTAATAAATACAGCAACAACAACAACAACAAATGTAACAAACAAAATAAATGATGCAGAATTAGTGATCAAAGTAAGGCAGCCTTGAATGAAATCCAAAAGCTCCACCTCTTCCCAAGTCATGTCCCCCCACGCATTCTGAAAGTAGGAGCTAAGGCCGCTGTAACAATAGGATGATGTAGTGGCTAGACTGAGGCGCTACCCAGAGGCGGAGCTAGCTGCTCTGGAACCTGGAGCAGCACACATGCTGTGCACCCGGGGGCGGGGCGGGGCGAGCGTTCCGGGGGGCGGGGGGATGTCAACACCCCCCCCAGGGATGACAGCCTGGGCGGGCCACACCTGCCGCATCCCCCTTCCTCCGCCAGTGGCGCCACCTGCACTCTACGTTTCAACCAGTATCATACCATGTGGCTTCCCCCAAAGACTCCTGGGAACTGCAGTTTGTTAAGGCTGCTGAGGGTTGTTAGGAGAAGACCCCATTCCCCTCACAGAGCTACAATTCTCAGTTCCTTTTCCCAGGTAAATTGTAGCTCTGTGAGGGGAATGGGGTGTCTCAGCACCTTTAACAAACTACACTTCCCATGATGCTTTGGGGAAAGCCATGATTGTTTGAAGTGGTATGACACTGCCCAAAATGCATGGTGTACGTGGGGCCAGTGTTCAAGCTCCCTGTCATAAGATAGTGTGGAATTTGACTAATAAGATGTTCCTCTCAAACACAGGACTAAAAGCAAAGCCAGCTCAACTGATCCTAGTCACCTCCTGGGAGAACACAACACCCAAAGTGCCTTACCCTGCTGTCCTCTTGCATCTCCCAGTCACTAGAGAAGGCCATGGAATGCTGTCCTTGAGTGCAGTTGGAAAACTGGAAAAGGCTCGAAAACATCCGTCTGTTTTCTTGGGTATCTGGAAATATTGCATCCTGGAAATTTACTCCATGTGGAAGGAGGTTATAATTCTCATCCATTCTGAAAAAGAAAACCAGGGATAAACATTAAGTAACTTGCAGCACAAGTCATCCATCTCTACATAGTGTAATTAGACTGACTTTCAGCAAGGCACACACTGCCCTGGTTGACACATCATGATAAGCCATTATGACTGAAACCATGGTTTATTGCAAATGTGTATCTCCCGCCCCTGTCCTGTGCAGGGTCTGGACAGCTCAAATGTCCATGGTCTGCTGTGTCACCCAACCCAAATTGTATTCTTCCTGATTTATTTCTGTTTTGCACCCGGTGGTTTGCTTGGAACTAACACAACATGGTCCAGGTTCAGGTGAGAAGTGGGAGAACCTACACAACTATGGTTCAGCAGGACATGCCCCCCCCCTTTCTATCTTGCACTTAAATACCATTTCTGTACCAGGTAAAGTAATTTTTAGCCCCCCTGATCCCCCGACCTGTCCCATATTTTGCCTGACTTGTCCTTTATTTTGCCCGACCAAAGGTGGCAACCCTAGTTCATATGGAATGGGGAGAGGCAGTCCTTGAGGTATTGTGGTCCTGAGCTGTTTAAGGCTTTATAGGTAATTAAAGATGGCATCAGGTTGGTTTCCCTTAGCTATAACTTCCTAGACTTTCGGTAGTCCTAGGGAAGGTAGTCCTTCCTAGGCACATGGGACAGACGGTGCTAATAGAGGGGTGTTTGCTCACAATTCCTATGTTTAGCAAGGCAATGAAGGGCTGGTCCATTGGGGGGGGCACAAGGAAAACAGCTTGCATATTGCCCATTTTGCTCCATTGACACATTCTGAGAAACCCGCTGAAAGGTTCTGTGCCATTTGAACTCTTTCCCAACAGGTGAGAATATTAATGCTAGTTGTGTTTCCATTTCCTAGATGGGCCTGGCATTGGTAGATCAGAGTGAGTGATATGAAGAATAATCACATGGGGAGAGAGAGGCCTATGGGCCCATTGGGAAGAGGAAAAGGGGCCTGACCCATATTTGTGGCTTTAACAACAGCTTGGAATGCTTATTTTCAGTTTTGGGAAATAAGCAGTGTCACCTGTTAATATCTGCACGTAAAAACTAGTCCCATCTTTGTCTCAACATTTATTCCCTCTTGCCATTATATTTCTGTTTTCAGCCCTTGAAAATGGCAAATAACATAGCGGATCCCACCTCTCTGGCTACCAATTGTGGCGGATCCCACCTTCATATATTCTAATTATAGCCATTTTGGGTTATCTGATGGATTTTGTGTGAAGGTAAAACTAGATACTTGAAGATTCAAAGAAGTTGGACAAATTAGAAAGATTTATTTTAGAGAACAAAGTTGGTAAAACAAAGGATGTGTCAAGAGATAATGTGTTTTCAGGAAACAGTTAACTTATTAATAATAATTATTATTATAATTACCGTGGCTCCATGGTGTAACGGTTAGCACTCTGGACTCTGAATCCAGAGATGCGAGTTCAAATCTCGGTGGAACGTAACTTTTCATCAACTGTGTGGATAGCTCAGTTGGTTACAGTGTAGTGCTATTGCGGATTTGATTCCATATGGGACACTTGCATATTCCTGCATTGCAGGGGGTTGGACTAGATGATCCTCAGGGTCCCTTCCAACTCTACAGTTCTATGATTCTATACTAAACTCTAGTGGGTGTTTCAGGCTTCTAAACAAGGTAGTAAACATGGAGCTTCTTTTCAACTTCAGCTGCTTATTTTCAGTTAATACTCTTCAGTTCGATGTTACAGGTTTCCAGCCTAGATGGTCGATGCTCAGCTTCTCTCCCGTTATTTCACTTCAGTTCCTTCACTTAGTGGTTGTGTAGGTGTTTCAGCTTAACACTTTGGCTCCTAAAGAAGGGGGGACTTTCCGTCAGTTTCCCAACCTTTCCTCACTCCCACTCCTGAGGTACTTCCATCCCAGGGGATCCAGGGGATCCCACACCCCTCTTAACTGGTCTGGGAGCTTCTCTGTCTAGAGGATCCCCCCCCTCCTGACTGACAGGAGACCCAAGGAGACTTTATCCTCACAGACTCTACTTCTCCTTGTTCAAACTCAGCCTTCTCATTACTCCTGTCTGAATACTCTCCCAAGATACTACACTCGGTCTTCGTATCTAAGCTCAGAGACCCTTTCTCTAGCTGTGGATATTCTGCTCCTCAGAGTGGATGTTACACACACAGACCAGAACCAACTCTCCAATTCTCCCTCCACTTCTTTCCCTCAGGGGCATTAGACTCCTTGAAGGTTGTGTTTACTTCCCAACCCATCCATCGGCAACCAGACTCGGCACGGCTGTTTGTGGTGGAAACTGATGACTCGGATGTTGCGGTAGGGGCTCTTTCCCTGTGGGTACTACTCCTGAAAATGTCAACTGGCAGAGTGGAATTATGGCATTTGGGACAAGGAAGTATTGGCTATCCAAGTGGCATTTGAGTCGTGGCATCATTTGTTGGAGCGGGCCCGTTATCCAGTTCGGATGGACAATCGGAACCTAGGACAACTCCTGTCAGCCAAGAAGCTGAATCAGCGCCAGATCTAATGGTCCCAGTTCTTCTCCCACTTTGATTTCAAGGTTACCTATATTCCCAGCGCGGTGGGACGGGGATGCGGGTGGTGCTGTGGGTAAAAGCCTCAGCGCCTAGGGCTTGCCGATCGAAAGGTCGGCGGTTCAAATCCCTGCGGCGGGGTGCGCTCCCATTGCTCGGTCCCAGCGCCTGCCAACCTAGCAGTTCGAAAGCACTCCCGGGTGCAAGTAGATAAATAGGGACCGCTTACTAGCGGGAAGGTAAACGGTGTTTCTGTGTGCGGCTCTGGCTCGCCAGATGCAGCTTGTCACGCTGGCCACATGACCCGGAAGTGTCTCCGGACAGCGCTGGCCCCCGGCCTCTTGAGTGAGATGGGCGCACAACCCTAGAGTCTGTCAAGACTGGCCCGTACGGGCAGGGGTACCTTTACCTTTTTATATTCCCAGCAGCCTGAAGCAGTGGGCTGATGCCCTTTCTTGGAAGCCAGAGTATGAGAGGTCTGACGATGCGTCACGTACACCCATGATATTGCCTCCTGCCAGTTTTGCTACGGCCCAAATTCCTAGGGACTTTTTGTGGGAGCTGCGGGAGCAGCAACAGTGGGACGCCTATGTGCAGCACTGGTGGCAAGAATTGGCTGACCAGGCTAGACACTCTCCTCACCACTGCATGGTGCACCAAGACTTGCTGCAGTTTGGGGGCCATTATTATGTGCTTCCTGGTCCACAGTGGGGAACTGTTCTGCGGTTATGCTATGACAGTCTACCGGCAAGGCATTTCAGACACTTCAAAACTCTTCATTTGGTGGCCAGGGACTTTTGGTGGCCTTGTCTTTGGGAAGAGGTGGAGCAATATGTGGCTTCCTGCCCAGTCTGTCATTGGGCTAAAGACATCCCTGGCAAGCCGGCAGGACACCTTCTACCTCTACCAATGCCTGAATGGCCCTGGCAGACCGTGTCACTGGACTTTGTCATGGACCTGCCTTCATCCCAAGGGGCGACTACCATTTTGGTAGTGGTGGATACCTTGACCAAGATAGCACATTTTCTCCCTTGCACTGGCCTCCCCTCAGCCCAAACAAGTGCAGACCTCTTCTTGAGAGAGGTGTTCTGCCTGCATGGTGGTATCTGACAGGGGACCGCAATTTACTGCTCATTTTGGCAGGCCCTTTGACGGGTTTGAGGGTGCAGCTCCATCTCTCCTCTGCCTACCACCCCCAATTGGACGGGCAAACAGAACGTGCAAATAGGATCCTGAAACAGTACCTGTGGTGCTTTGTCAGTTTCCATCAGAACAACTGACTCTCACTCCTGGCGGCTGCTGAATTCTCTTATAACAGTGCTCTCCACACTTTGACATGCCTCTCCCCATTCTTTGCCAACTATGGGTTCCCCCGCTTCTTTTCCCTGCTGTCATCTCCTTCCATGCTTCCAGCAGCAGAACAGTTTCTGCAGGAGCTGTGGACCATCCATTGGGTTCTCCGCAAGCAGCTCCAATGGGCAAAGGAGGATTACAAGCATTTTGCTGACTGACTGCCCCTGGCAGTGGGGGACTTGGTCTGGCTCTCCACCCGGCATCTGCCGGTCCAGAACCCTGCACGGAAACTGGGACCCCAATTCCTCAGTCTCTTTCCTGCAGGCCAAGATCAACCCAGTGGCCTGCCGGGTCAAGCTCCTGGCTTCCTATAAGGTACACCCAGTCTTTCACCATGCCTTGCTCATCCCTGCGGTCCCTGCCAGTATGCACCAACCGGAGCTTCCCCCTCTGCCACCCGTCTTTGTGGAAGGGGAGCCAGAATTTGAAGTGGCACAAATTGTGGACTCCTGTCAATGCCAACGTCTCTTGCAGTATTTGGTGGACTGGAAGGGCTACGGCCCTGAGGAACGCTCATGGGAAGATGCTTCGTATGTCCATGCTCCCCGGTTGGCCTGACAGTTCCACCGTTGGTTCCCCCATAAGCTGACACGCAGCCGGCGGGTCGGGGGGCACCTTGCGGAGGAGGACAGTGTCATGGGCCAGGAGTCAGCTTCAGCTGCTGAGCAGCAGCTTGAAGGAGCAGAAGGCAAAGTAACTCCACCTGCTGCCGACCAGCTGCAGCCTTCTTGCTCCTGATGAGAACCAGCTGGCCTCAGCTTTCTTAAGCAGGGTTTCTAGCCTTGGTCAGTTGCTGGAAACAACTTTCGTCCTTCCTGGCCAGACCTTGCTGCTTCTTGCTTCTCGTAACCTTGGACCCTCGGCTTTCTTGACCCCCGGATCGTCTGACGACATGAACTGAGATGCTTCTGACCTTTGGACTGGACTGGACCTTGCATATGGACTCTGCCACCAGGCGAGTACCTCCCTGAGACTACAACACCCACAAACAGAGTGAACATGAATCTTTCCGCAAAGAAATCTGTCGTGTATTATCTATTTAAGATTCCTGCATCGCAGTAGTTGGACTGGATGACCCTCGGAGGTCCCTTCTAAGTCTACAATTCTATGATTATATGAAATAAGGATGATGGTCCAATAAGCAGGCAGTCTGGGATCAGGCAGTGGAGGCTTACTGTTTTTCAGATGCACAGTTGCAAAACTCTGTCATGGAACTTCTCAAACTACAATTAAAGAACACATTCATCACCACAGATAATCTTTAAAATGAAATGCCACTGTTGAGTCACCAGACTTCACAAACACTTAAACACAGAATTCCATGTGTAAGCAAGAGAGCCACATACAAAGCTGGTTTACATGGATAAGCATCCAGTTTCTGTCTCTTCCTTTCACTGCGGTCTATAAGAATATCAGGAATTGTGTTTTGTCCACTGATCAGTTGGCTAACTGCAAAACGGGGCTCTTGTAACAGTTGCATAGGAGAGAGGCTTGGACAGATGAAGCTCAGCAGGTGAAAAAAGAAAAGAAAACCAACCAGCACCTGCTGAAATCCATCCTTCTACACAACCATCAAAGAGACGGGAGTCCTGTCTTCCTTTGCAGCTGATCACCACAGTAGGAATTGTTTGGTAGGAAGTTGCTATTCACGTCTCTTGCTGAAGGACAAGCCATGGGGTCCTACATTCCTTTCCAAACCCATAAAAAACCTGCATGCATTGACCAATTGTGACATAGCATCTGCCAGGTGCTGGCAGTCACAGAACCATTTCCCAGAGTCATCTTATGTGCTGAAATACTGCATCTCAACTGGCCCATTAATAAACTCAGGATAAGGAAATTAAAATTAGCAAGGTTTGCCACCTTGGGCTCCTTTGGGAGGAAGGGTGGGCTATAATAAATTTAATGAATACATAATAAATACACAAGAATCTGAATTTTAACCAGAACTGGTTCTAAGTATACAATCTTCCTAGGAGAACAAGACGTATACTAAGCTTAAGTTTGAAGTGAAATATATGATGAATAAAACAACTTTTTGAGAGAGACTGACCATTTTTAAATGTTTCCCTGACACAAAAAACTACAACTGTACTAAACAAACTTTAATAAGTTGTATTTATTAGATACTCTCTCACCCAATGATAACATTGAAATGAATTTATAACAGGAGAAGTCTTGTGTCCCAAGCTTTAAGCTCTGGAAATCCTTATTGTAATGGTGTGGAACTACGATGGTGGCGTCGAATTCAGCACAGTTAGCAAAGAGCCAGGAGCCGTTTCCTTTGCAGCTGATCACCTCATTTGAAACAGTTTCATAAAACAATTATTGTTATTCCCTGGTGACAGAAAAACACTCGGCACATGTTCAAAGGCACCCATTTACTCACACTAAGTCTAAGGCAAGCTGAAGTGACTTGCCTAGACTGGTCCTGACAGCCAAATCTTCCTAATCTTCTGGCCTATTTTTTTATTCTTTCTATAGGCAAGTTAGGTAAGGAGAGCAAAATGGTGAATTCTTGTGGATCTCATTTATATCCTATAACTTTTGCAGTATAAATCTTTAATCCCATTTTATCCTCCCAAAAAGCCAGGGAGTTAGGTAAGGCAAGTGCCATGCAAGCGTTGGGGGTCAAGCAGTGGGCGCCCCCAGGGTTCCTCTTGCCCCCCTCGCCCGGAAGCTCACCAGGTAAACGTGAGCCAGACGCAATATCTCAGCCTGGCCAATCTCACAGGGTTGCTGTGGCCATTTAAGAAGAGGGGATGATGCCACCTTGATCTCTTTGGAGGAACATCCATAAATAAACAAAATGGTGGCTGGACATGGAGAGCCATGGAGAGATCAGCTCTGAATATCACATGGCATGAGATGCAGACTAAAGTGGTAACAGCAGAGTCTGTCACACAAGAAGACAGTTGTGCATATCCTATTTTTGAACGCTCCATTATGTTGAAAAAAAACCAACCACCACTACCTGTAATAAAACTTGAACCTCGAGGAGAAAGACAGAGCTCTCCCTGGTATGTTGCTTTATTACACACAAAGAGCTGTTTACACATAGAAGTGTTTAAAAATTGCAACTTCCCAACACACACACACCTGCAGCTTGAAGTGGCCCAGTCCATCATTCTATCACCTTGCCCTGCGCGCAATATCTTCATAGTTCTAACTCACCATGCATCTGTCCTCCCCGCCCCCATCAAGCCACTCTCTCAGCCTCCCATCTCCAACGCGGAGATGATATTGACCGGCCTTACCTGAAACAAGGTATGTGAAGTGTTTTTAACATTCTAGAGCGCTACCAAAATGCCCAGCATTAGTTATATTAAATCCATGTGTCATTTAGCAACATTAGGCAACGGTATCTTTTGAACATTATTATTACTATTAATTAGTATTAGGTATTGGTGAGTTTTCTGGAGGTACTCACCTGAGGAAGAAGAAGTAGGAGTAACCCTGCATGACTGTGTGAGAGTGGCAGGAGAAATACCCCAGTCCCGTCAGGTTGAGCCGGGATCCCGCAGGGACTTCCAGCATGCTTCCCCAGGCCTGATCACAGAGCATCTCAATCTCGGCAGAGTAAAAGAGCCCCCCTTCTGGGGCTTCATATTGCCAGGGCAAATAGTTGAACATGCTGTACATATCCTGATGCAGTGCCAAGACTTTGGCATAGACGATGATTTCTGCCAGCTCAGCCCTGCAGCTTTCGCTCAGGGGTCTCCACTCGGACGGCAGCTGACAGCCCAGGCTGGGACTGAGCTGATTGCCAAAGCACAGGAGCAGGAGCAGCCGGATTTGCAGCATGATGGAGGATGCAGGCTTCGCACACTGGATGCTAAAAGTTTCCCCAGTGCCTTTAAAAAACACACACACACAGAGCACACTCACAAAACCTGAGGCTAGGTTTGTGAAACAAGATCCCTATGAAATGAATCAACTGATTGGCAAGAAGCTGGGGCCTAAGGCTCATCAGTGGCTCAGCTTTTGCCCAATAGGAGCAGTTCTTCAAAGGGAGGGAGGAGCAGTAACCAGAGAAAGGAGAGTTCTGCTGCGTACACACACTCACTTGAGCTGCAAACTGTTGCAGTAGCTGCAGCAGAGTCAGAGGTGCGGGGCGTCTGTAAGCTCCCAGAGCCATGGGCTGGGGAAGAATTCTGCCCTGCTTGTGCAGCTGAAAAGAAAGGGAAGTTTCAAACAGCAGAAGAGCTTCTTAAGCTGCTTGTTGGGTGCTGTGTTTCTTCATCACCATCCCATTTATATATTCATCACCATCTTGTAGCACTTAAGCTCTAAGCACCTTACAACCGTGAAAAGAAGTCAGGACCTGCTGACGGCCTGTCAGAGTGAAGGGGATGGATGAAAAGCAGAAAGAGAGGGAGGCCAGAGACACTGCTTTAAAAACAGAAGAGGCAGGGTGGTGATGCACAGTTAGGAGCCAGCAAGAGAGAGGGAATTAAATTGATGCCCAACCATGTCACAAATTTCATGAGCAAAACGTTGCCGGAATCGGGGATGGGTGGAGTCCAAGGTTTGATGGTTCAGTGATTCCCTTCAGATGTTTTTTTGAATTACGACAGCTGTCAGTCCTAACCACTGGCCATGCTGGCTAGCTGGAACTGACAGTGGGTTGCAACTATTTAAAAATACAATATTAAAAAGAGTTACAACAGGTTACAATCAAGAGAACAAGGTGGGTCCTAAAATATATATTTCAGATGCCAAAGGTCCAGCAGCATCTGGCAACGTGGTGGGCTAATTCTTACATGTATTGCAGGGGTATGTAATAAAAAAATGATCTCTCTCCTCCCCCCCCCAAAAAAGCAAAGCTTTGTTGCTGAAACAAGTGCAAAATCAGCATTTTTCTTTCACAAGAGTGTGAATGCAGAGATGTCCCAGAAGGGCAACCATATTATTCTCAAGAAAGCAAAACCTAAAAGTATTGTGGAATGAAGTTTTGTTCACAAGATTATAAAATGGAATCTTCATCCTCAAAATACATTTGTTTCTCCTTAAGATGGCCCCAGAACTCTTTGATATCTACAGAGCTATCTCTGAAGCACATACTCCCTATAGAGCACACCATACTGTTTCCTCCCCTGACCCCCCCCCCATGTTAGCCATCTTCACACCAGGGGTCCTGGGATAAGCTCACTGAAGGGCTTTGAGAAGAGCCCTGCTGCATTAGACCAAAGGTCATTTGGCCCAGCATCCTGTTCCCATTTGGCTGCCCTCCCTAAGGCATGTATTAAAAGAACTGGCAGATGTGATCTCAGAACCACTGGCAGTCATCTTTGAGAATTCCTGGAGAACAGGCGAAGTCCCGGCAGACTGGAGGAGGGCAAATGTTGTCCCTATTTTCAAAAAGGGGAAAAGAGAGGACCCAAATAATTACCGCCCAGTCAGTCTGACATCAATACCAGGGAAGATTCTGGAGCAGATCATTAAGCAAACAGTCTGTGAGCACCTAGAAAGGAATGCTGTGATCACCAATAGTCAGCATGGATTTCTGAAAAATAAGTCATGTCAGACTAACCAGATCTCGTTTTTTGACAGAATTACAAGCCTGGTAGATGAAGGGAACGCAGTGGATGTAGCCTACCTTGATTTCAGCAAGGCATTCGACAAGGTGCCCCATGATATTCTTGCAAAGAAGCTGGTAAAATGTGGTCTTGACTATGCTACCACTCAGTGGATTTGTAACTGGCTGACTGACCAAACCCAAAGGGTGCTCATCAATGGTTCCTCTTCATCCTGGAGAAGAGTGACTAGTGGGGTGCCACAGGGTTCTGTCTTGGGCCCGGTCTTATTCAACATCTTTGTCAATGAGAAAGTGTCCAGGCCGGTAGTAATTGCGAGCATCCGTTTGATCCCTGACCAGATTCAAGGGCTATTTCGCCTTGTGGTTCCCGCAGACTCCAAAGGGCATCATGAGCAGCAGAAGCAGCAACAGAAGGAGCAGGGATCTCATTCTGGCTCTGCCTCCTCCTCCTCATACCTGCCTAGGAGGCAAAGCAGAAGAACCCAAAGACTCTTGCAAGGCCAGACTGGGTGGGCTTTCCCAATCTGGGTGGTTTTCATCTATATCTTCTGAGCTATGAAGCACAAGGCAGGCACACCCCTCTATCGCCAGCTCTGCATCTTGACTCAGTCTGTCTTCAGCACAGGAAATATTCTCTGCACCAACTTTTTCTTTCCCAGACACAGCACAATTAATATTGTCATGTTGCTTTCCGAGGCTCATGCAATCTCCAGAAATATCTCCTGAGCTTTCAGAAGATGAGATGACTATAATTTTGATTATTCCAAGTGGAATAAGTTTCATCACAAACTTTCTGGAGTCCTGAATGGCTCAAGCGGCAGGTGCAGAGCTGGAGAAAAACAGGCTTGATTCTAGCCGATCCCTTCTGATGAAACTGATGGAATATGATGAAATGTCTAAACTCAGAGGACAAAATGATGGATTTTTTTTTACGATCTTTATCTAATCATTAAGAAATACACAAAACAAACATTGTCAGGGCCGCCTCAGGTCCCAGCTCACAAGAGACCAACGCCAAGTCCACTTTATTTACAAAAGTCTTTATTGAAGTACATTGTTTGTTCCACAGCCGAGGCGCGCAGCCCCACGTCTGTTACGCTTAGACCGCTGAAGTCCCCTCTGAATCAGTCCCGCCTCTACACCAGTTTAAGAGGCTTCTGCTGGTCCACCTCTTCCTGTCCTTCCTTTTCCGCAGGGTCTTTCTGCCCCCCTGGGTTCCTTCCCTCCTGCTTTCCCCTGACGCTGAGTCCCCAGACACCTGCTCCCCCCTCCTCCGTGCTTTGGGACCAGGCTCCTCCTCCGGGCTCTCCGCATTTCCGCGCGCCTCCACATTTGAACTTGGCGCGCGTTCGCTATCCCTGACCTTCCTCTTGACAGTTATACTACTCTCTGTACTACTCTCCGCCCCTTCCGGCAGGACGTCTTGCCCCGATCTCCTTCCCCTCTCTGCTTCCTGCTCTGCTCCGTGTGTCACACTGGGAACTCCACCCTCTTCACTCCGTTCCGGCTGGGAAGCCGGCCCCGATCTCCCACTCCCACTCGGGGTTTCCCTGCTGCTCCCCTGCTCCTGACGAGTCCCCCCTGTGGCTCCCCTTGGCCTGACCAGGGGCGCCCCCTTTTGGGAATCCTCCGATTCACTTGAGAGACTCATGGAAGCCCTCAAGTCATTGTCATCCTCCTCCTCCTCGTTCCTGGATTCTTCCCCCTCGCTCTCAGTCTCCTCCCTCATCTGTGCCTCTCTCCCTGAACCCCTGACAAACATATTGTTCTGTAATGAAATAAACACTTTACACAAAAAGAAAATAGAAAATAGAAAAGAGATCACTATAATTTTGATTATTCCAAGTGGAATAAGTTTCATCACAATAACTTTATGGAGTCTGGACTGGCTCAAGCAGCAGGTGCAGAGCTGGAGAAAAACGTGGTGCACAGAAGTCAAGGGGTGTGTTTGGAAGTTGGAAGTTTGGCCTGAACTTTGCTCTCAAGGACCAAAGAAGGAGCGGGATCCGACCATGGACTCTCCTTCCTTGGAGGTTTTGAAGCAGAGGGTGGATGGCCATTAGGGATTCTTTAGCTGAGATTCCTGCATTGCAGAGGGTTGGACTAGAGGACCTTGGGGTCCCTTTCCAAGTCTCCCATTCTATGATTCATTGGAGGTTTTTAAGAAGAGGTGGGAGAGTCAGGGATGGACAACGGCCAGATGAAGGAGTCCCAGCCTTGTATCCCAGGCATCCAAACCCTTTTAAAATGTGGGGGTTGGGGGGGGGCATTATTGGCTTGTTGTTTTTATTTTGATTATATATGTTGTGGTTTTATATTTTGATTTTGCTCTCTGAACCACCCTGAGGCCTCCAGGGAGAGAGCGGTATATAGATTCAGTACATAAATAAATAAAGGAATAAATATGAATAAATAAAAATGAAGAAATGAAGAATGCTGAGAAATGCCATCCTCAGTACTGTGAACGGGATACATGGTGGTGGGATCTTGTTTCCTGGAGGCTGCTCGTCGGGAAAACATGGAAGCCGTCCTAGGTGCCTCCAAGGGAATGAGGAAAAGGACGAGGTCTCTTTGCGACTTCCTTGGTTATGCGGGTTTATTAGTATAATAATTGGTTATTATCAGTTTATTAGCAGGCCAGGAGGAAGGTTGTGCAGGGCAGCCTGGGAAGGGTGAGGGAAAGGCTGTGAGGAAAAGCCTTCTCTCTTTCTCCCTCAAGTTTATATGGAAGAATCCAAATACGTTTAGAGAAAAATAAAATGATAGGAAACAGGATCCTTGTTTGTGAGAAGAAGGGGCAGCAAAGCATGCTGGGAGGAAGGACGTGAGGGAAATGAAATGAAACTTAACAAAGCATAATTTATCATTAAAGCTAATAAGTGAAACCTAACAAAAGACACTTTTAGATTTATTTATTCAGTTATATATTGGAAAATGGGTAAATTTCAATTATAGGAAGCTGGATCCATGTTTGTGAGAAGAAGGGGCAGCAAAGCATGCTGGGAAGAAGGACGTGAGTGAAATGAAACCTAACAAATGGTAATTTACCAATAAAGCTGAAATATACTCAGAGTCGCAAAGTGATTTCATGCTCTTTATTCAGCTCATAGTGGTGAGGAGGAATGAATGAAAGTCCCCTCAGAGTATCTGCTTTATATACATTATTTACACAATGGGCTGCACATGATTGGCTAATTCCGGAATTCTACTGTAAGCCAATCAGGTTGTGGATTCACTTCTATCTGGAGCATGATTGGGTGGTTCCTGCCAACCAATCATACTGCTGCATTGTTCTAGGACCAATCAGACTGCTGCATTGTTCTAGGACCAATCAGACTGCTGCATTCTGAATCCTATTGTTCTAGGACCAATCAGACTGCTGCCTTTTGGATCCTATTGT